ACTTGTATCACTGAAGTTCCTCGAAAAGAATTTCTACCGGAAATTATCAAACAAGCAGATATGTAACAAATTGGTGTCAGAGAGTGGGACTAAAAAAGAAAAAGAAGATGGAAACGAGAAGTGGCAAATCAAAATACAGCTTAGCAGATTTGATGGCAGCAATACAAGAACAGCAAAAGAAACAAGAAGAACGAGAAAATAAACAAGAAAAGAGATTACAACAGTTGCTTGAGGAAAAAGAAAAGAAACAAGAAGAAAGAACACAGAAGTGGCAAGAAAACCTGCAACAGTGGCAGCTCGAACATAAAAAAAAACAAGAGAGATTACAGCAATTGTTGGAGGAAAAAGAAAAAAACAAGAGTAGAGACTACAGCAGTGGTTGGAGGAGAAATAAAATGTACAAGAAGAGAGACTACAGCAGTGGTTTGAAGAGAAAGAAAATAAACAAGAAGAAAGTCTCCAAGAATTGAGAGAAAGTCAGCATACACAAATGGAAAACATTAGTAAATTTCAAAGCGAATTAAATGCATTAAAGGATGATTTATTGTCTTTTACACAAGGCGGATACATTAACCATCGACTTAAACAGCCCAAGACAATGGCAAGCCTCTTCCAGACCCCGCAGCTAAACTCTAATGCAGACATCTTCAGTCCTGGAAGAAGTCACATCCCAGACATGAGTGTCGGCAAAAGGGGTGATCTAATACGAAGGAAGCCACAGGAATTCGATGAGAAGGCACCATGGGAAGCATATAGAGCACAATTTGAGCTCCTGGCAGAGAAGAATGGATGGACAGAGAAGCAGAAAGCAGTATATCTGGCAACGAGCCCGAAAGGACAACCACTGGAAATACTTGGACAGTTGTTAGCAGATTACAGGCAGAACTATAGAGCACTGGTAGCTGCTCTAGAACTCAGGTATGGAACTCAAAATCAGTCCGAATTCTACAGGGCTAGGTTAATAACTAGAGTCTGTGCTTAAGTGGAGAGCCTGCAAGAGCTGGCACAGGACATGGTAGGTATGGCACACAAAGCCTACCCAACTGCACCACCCGATCTCCTCAAGTTGTTGCTGAGGGATCAGTTCGTAGATGCATTGGACAGTCCACAACTTAAGGTACAAGTGAAGCAAGCACACCCCTCTACCATGCAGGATGCAATGGCCATAGCTCTTGAATTCGAATCCTATGTTAAGTCCAGCACAGAGGTAACATGGTTGGTACAGTCATCAGGATTCAAAGCCAGAAAAGGGCAGCTTTCAGAGAAGTTTGAGGGACTTTGCTGGCACTGTAACAAACCTGGGCACAAGAGAGCTCAATGCCGGCATCTTCAACACAGGGAAGATGCCATGGCAGGAAAGTCTGCCACTCAAAAAGGTTGTTGGAACTGTGGAGAGCAAGGACATATCAGAAGCCAGTGAAAGAAGAATACTACCAATAAGTCAGCTTTGGGGAAACCAGTAGTGGTTGGTGTTGAGGGATGCCCACCATCTCCCATTGTGAAAGTCCCAACAGCTAAGTGTAAAATATCAAGCACACATAGTGTCTACGTGACAGGAAAGCTGGATAGCCAAAAGTGCAACTTTGTCATAGATTCTGCATCTCAGCAAATCCTTCTGAGTATCAAGGTGCTAGATCACAAAGGAGTACCAGAAGCTGTACAGAAGCTCTGTGGTGTGACAGGACATTATACAAGGTTGTGGGGACCAGTGTGGGTAACCGAGGAAGTGTGTAGTTAGCTTCGATAAAATGACGATTGGAAACAGTAAAGGCCAGATTCCAATAAGTATTGCTACATCCGTGAATTTGCATGTCACAGCACTTAAGTCAACTACAATACCCCCTATGTCAGAGAAGATAATTTGGGGTAGGATAAAAGATCATCCCCAAGGAAACCCAATGTTTGTGGAAGCACTGGAAGACCCATCCAGGCCAGCAGATTTGAAGATTGAAAGGTCACTTGTGGCAGGTCATCAAGTAGTACCTATAACAGTGGCCAATTTCTCTAAATGTGAGCACACACTTAAGAATGGGGCATTGTTGGGTGTGTGCCAGGAGGTAGAACCAGTCAACGTTAAAGCAAGGCATTCAACTATAAAGAAACGATATACACTTCCAGAACATTTAACTGACCTCTAAAAGAAGATCATAGTCCATTTGGCATCATCACAGGCTCTTCAGGTCAAAGAACGTTTGGCAAATTATGCTGACGTCTTTTCAAAAGGAGATCATGACCTCGGATGCACAAACCTGGTAGAGCACAGAATAAACACAGGCAAACACCGTCCAATAAAGATCCCTCCAAGGAGAATAGCTCCAGCAAAGCGAAGAGAGATAGAGAAGATCATGGATGGTCTAATCAAGGAAGGGATAGTTGAAAAATCAGGTAGTCCCTGGTCAGCTCCTGTCGTATTAGTCAAGAAGAAGGATGGGACCCAATGATGCTGTGTGGACTTCAGGACTCTTAACAATATAACCGAAAAAGACTCATACTCACTGCCAAGAATTGATGATACTCTTGATGCCTTAAGTGGAGCCAGGTGGTTTTCAACTCTGGACTTAATGTTGGGTTTCTAGCAAGTGAAAATGGCTGAAGCAGATAGACTCAAGACAGCATTTAGTTATGGCCAACGTTTCTGGCAATACCGAGTGATGCCAT